AAATGTTCAGTGAAACATCTTAGAATTCTAAGTTTCTCATTTGTCTTTAGACTATTCCCAATTTTTCTTACTATTTTGCATATTTACCATTATGGGTTTTGGTTCTAAACTCAGCTGATTTTAGAAATAAAGCAGATAGAATGAGTAGAGGGTAGAGTTAAGGTGTATGGATAACATGTGGTGTGCAGCTAGCTAACTGAAAAGAGCATGGCTACTGAAGGTATTCAAATTCAGTTGTTTTGTTTTTCAAAAACACCATTGGATCATTAAAATATATTGCTGTTTACGGGTCCCATTGTTTCTCAGCCTAAATATTACAGAATTTTCCTTTTTTAAGAATTTGTGTTAGGTAGTCAGTCACAAGTTTGGCGGTTTTTGTTTGTTTGTTTTGTACTAGGGATTGAACCCAGGGATGCTTAACCACTGTGCCACATCTCTGGTCCTTTTTAAAAAAAATATTTATTTATTTTTTGAAACAAGGTCTTACTAAGTTACTGAGTAGCTTACTAAGTTGCGGAGGCTGGCTTTGAACTTGTGGTCCTCTAGCCTTAGCCTCTTGAGCCAATGGAATTACAGATGTGCACCACTGTACCCAGTTTGACTGTTTTTTAAAATGTACATTTGGTTAAGTTACCTACCAAATTTTTCATATGGAAAACAACCAAGGAACTGATATTGTCAGGTTAATTCAGTATTTGTATAAACCTTGAAAGAATGCTTTCAATTTCTGAGCATTTTTAAAAAATTTTATGACTCTTTACACAGGTCTCTTTGAACTAAAATTTGTGCACATCTGCTCAATTTGAAATTGAACAAGTGTACTTTGAGAACATTCTTATGTCTTAGTTAAATGTCTAAATGCTAGACAAGACGCAGATGCATCTTTACTATGCATGTCCTTATTAAACTTTTATAGTTGTGATACTTTTACATTTAGCATAAGCTTTAAATAGTTCTTCCTTCAAATTTAAAAGAATAGATGCAGCTTTTGGATTACATTTTATTCATCTCTGAAATAAAAAATTGTTGCCTTAAGGTATTAGATCCACTTAGATAAAGGAATATTGAAAAGCAAACTATTAATTTTATTTGCAATTATCTATGTGAATCAAGGGTTGTTGATTTTTTTTCCCTTTTAATACCACCAAAACATACAATTTAGATATGGCTGATATAAGCTACAGTTGTCATTCATTCATCTTTAGTGAGGATTCTTTTGATTGCAGGTAACAAAGACTCAACTCAAAGTAGCTTTAAAAATGGAAATGTGTTGGCTACTGTAAACAAATCACAGAAGAGCTTGCTTTAGGAACTACCCTATCCCAGGACACTGCCCAGATCTCTCTCGAGTCCCCCTTGCCATCTTTACTCTCAGATTTCTCATCACAGCTTTTCTTTATGAGTTGTTTTAATTCTCTCTTACACAAATATGAATAAATATCCACAAGGTGAGAATAGTCATGTGGTGTGAAAGATAGGCCATTTTGGACTTGTTGCGGCTTCTATCCCAGGATGCTCTAATTTAGATCAAGTGCCTGCCTGTGCCCAGTAACTGCAGGCAGAGAGCAGGGATATTAAGTTCTGCCTTGCATTACCAGCTTGGTCTTAGGAGTTTGCCCCTATGCTCAGGGAAGCAGAATCTGTTCTGGGAAGAAGGAAGCATGCAAAGTCATGTATTATGCCATGGGATTCTACATCAGATGCTATACTATTAAGTTTTGAAAACAGTACATTAGACAGAATTTTGTGAGATCAGTTACTTATGTGTCTTTTCCAAAATTTCAATAATTATAACATCATTAGGCTTAAATTTTCAGTTATGAGGTTCTGTGTGGGTGCATTCTTCTTCAATCCTGTGAATTTTGATCCATGTGTTATTTGTAGAACAAATATTTATTGAGCACTACTAATATGTCAGACTCCATAATTAGCACAGAAGATGTAGTGATGAACAGACAAGCATGATCTCTCTTCCATGTAGATCCCAAGGAAAGACAGACAAATATTATAAGCATGAGGTAACATGTTATGAAGCAGAAAGAGAAATACCTTCAGGGAAAAAAAAATAGCTAAGAAAGAGAAGAGAGAGATCCAGAGTAGATAATGATCAAGTGAAGTTCTTCAAGATGAGTAAGAGTGAGCCAGAAAGGGAGGAATGAGGGTAATCAAGGCAGAGGAAAGCTTGTGTGAAAGCTCAGGGAGCATTGGTGGAGCTGAAAGATGTGTGTTGTACAGAAAGTGTAATGAGGAAAAGAATTAGAGAGTAATAAGTGAGGAAGCAAAAGACATAAACTAAGTCAAATCATGTAGTCCATGATAAAGAATTTTTTTAAAACATCCTAATTGTGATAGGTAGCGAGTGGACAGTGTTGAGCAGTCAAGTAAAATAAGTAGTTTCAAAACATCCTCCTGATTTTAGTGTGCAAGTGGGTTAGTGAGAAGGGACAGCTGTGTGCAGGGCCACAGGAGATTGTTACAGTGGTATAAATGAGAAGTAAGAAAAGGACTTTGAGGACTGCGGGGTTAGCTGTAGAGTACAGGCTTTGGAAAGTATGAAGTCCTATGTTTGATTTCTAGGCACTGCAAAAACAAACAAAAAACTTTTCTTTTTTTTTAATTTCCAGTTTCTTATCACTTGGACCCATAGAGCTAGCACAAACCTAGGCATAGTTGGTACTCAGTATTGAGGTCACAAGAACTGTGTGTGTGTGTGTGTGTGTGTGTGTGTGTGTGTGTGTTTCACCTTAAAATGCATGTGACTCTTTTAAAAACTCATAATGCTTGTTTTATCATTTGCTGTATGTTAAAAAAAAAAAAAAAAAAGACTTCAGTGGTTTCCTGCAAACACTTTATCACTACCCACTACCAGCATTTCTAAGCCAAAACCTTTACGTCAAAAGTTAAATGTTTCTATTTTTTTAAAAAAAAGTTTATAAAAAGCATGTCTTAAGGTAGGAATTTTATTCCAACTTAACACCAGCAGTTTCTGGTCATATTACATAACAACATGGGATATTGTATTAAAGATATCTGTGCTGCTTGTATTTCAAGTGCTCGATGGTGCCATCTAGTGGTATGATCACTTCAAAAGGTGAATATTTGCTATTACTTTGGGGACAGAATTTTTTTAAAAAATCAATTTTATAAAAAAAGGTTAATGCAATAGCCAAACATAAGATACCAATGGAATTTAATATAAAACCTTTTTGAGTATTCTTATATGTAACACCAAAATACCTTTGGAAAAAAAAATAGCTAAGCAAGAATGTATCAAAATTTAAAGCCTTCATTTATCAAAAGTCACCAATCAAGAAAGTGAAAAGACAGTTTACAGAATGGGAGAAAATATTTGAAAATTACATATCTTGCAAGAGTCTAGTATCCAAAATATGTAAAGAATGCTTAAAATTCAACATCAAAAAGACAACCAATTAAAAAATGTGTGAAGGACTTGAATAGACATTTCTCCAAAAGACATATATATGGCCAATAAGCACATCATTGGTCATTAGAGAAATACAAACCAAAGCCACAGGGAGATACCATTTCATAGAATGGTTTTCATAATTTTAAAAAACAAAATACCAAAACCAGAAAATAACAACTGTTTGCAAGAATTTGGAGAAATGGGAATCCTCATGGACTGGTGGGCAGGTGTAGCCACTGTGAAAAATTGTTTTAACAGTTTCTCAAACAAATAGAGGATTACCCTGTAACCCAGCAATTCCATTCCTAGGTATATTCCCGGGAGAAATGGTGTCAGAGTTAAATGGAGAGATGAATCTCCAAAACAAAAAAAAAAAGGTTTTATTTAGGAGTAATAAAAAAAATAAGATTGCAGTCCAGGATACCTGTACACAGGCCAGGGTGGCCTTTGATATGTCCAGAAAACAAAGGAAAGGTTAGTGGTTTCATTGGGACAGAGGAAATCTATGAAAATGCAGACTTAATGGAGGCGGTTTCGCTGGATTAGCCTGCCAGGGAAGTTCCTGGAACAGTCATTAGAAACCTGAGTGTTTCCCATGACCTCTGGACTCTGTTTTAGATATAAATGACAAGAACATTTTCATTTGTGTGCTCAATCTCCATACAGGTGTTCAAACAAAAACTTGTACATGAATGTTCATAGCAGCATTATTCATAATAGTGGAAAGGGAATGAATTTTTATCAACTGATGAAATGGATAAACAAAAGAGTACATCCATATGGTGGAGTATTATTTAGCTGTAAAAAGGAATGAAATACTATTACATTGATGGACCTTGAAACATTATGCAAAGTAACAGGAGCCAGACCAAATATTATATGATTTCATTTATGTGAACTGTCCAAAATAGTCATAGAGATAGAAAACAAAACAGAATCTGAGTCATTTTAAAAAAATACTTTTATAGTTTTTTCTCTGACCTTCCTTTGGTAAGTATATGCTAATTTATAATTCTACCAATAATGGATGAGGAAAAATGGAGTAGATTTTTTATTGAGTAACTGTTCCAAGAGTTGTGCCTGGATTCTTTGCTTATATTATTTTATTAAATGTCTGTGCCTCCTCTGACATAAAGTATCTAGAGAAATTGTAACAAGCAGATGAGTAAAGATCAGAAACCAGAAGTTTTTGTCTCCATGTCATGTTCTATTTCCCTTTTAGCTTTAGCAGTGTTGAAATTTACCTTTTTTAAAATATCTTTTTTTAGTTGTAGATGGACACTATTTATTTATTTATTTATTTATTTATTTAATGTGGTGCTGAGGAGCCACAAAACTAGCCCCTGGATTTTACCTTTTGTAGTTGTTTTTTTATTAGAGAGATTCAGCATTTCTCAAGTGATTGTTAATTGTTTATATTATTCTTACTCAACAGTCTATATCCTGTGCATTTATTATTAATAGATTTTAAACTGAACTTTCATACTTTTCTTGTAGACATAGAGGTATTATGTGTCAACTTTATCACAATTTTTTTTTTTTTTTTTTGCTTTTGTTTGCACCTCTATTCTAGGCTCTCGATGGCAATGTGTATGATCACCTCAAGGATTATTTAATAGCCTTCAGCCGGACTGAGCTAGAAACATGCCAAACTGTGCAGAACACATTCCAGTTTTTGTTAGAGAACTCCAGCAAGGTAAAGTACCTTCACTGCAGTGGGTGGTGTTAACCATTTTAGAATTCAACATGTTTTTGCTGCAAACAAAACAAAGAAACTAATGATACTAGAAGAATGCTTAAAGGACAATTGTCTGGAGACAGCATCCTTCTAACTCATCCACAGGGGAACAGAAACATCCTCCTACTTCAGATTGAATACTACAGTATCTTGGTTTTTGACATGTGCTGTCATTCTTCAACACTAGTCTTTTCGTTTAAAAATACTGATCTGTCAACTTTGCTCACATGTCCCAATGTGTGTAGAAAAAATATATGTAATTTCTTTTCTTTAGGTTCTGATAGAGTAAAATTTTTTGTAGTGAAACTATTCTTTTGAAAATTAATTATTCTTGTGATTAGTAAATGTTATATTCTTCCTAATAAATGAAATACATAGTAAATGTTTCCTGACTGAGTGCATACATTTATAAAAATGTATGCGTTTTGTAGCTGCTGCTTTAAAAGATCCTGTTCAATTCTCTTTTTTTGGCAGGGGAAGTGGGAACTGACTATATCTTTTAGAAACCATTTGTAAAGGGATCAGAGTATCCATCTTTGCATGACAGTGTCCAAAGACAGGAAAGAAAAGGGGCACAAACTTTTTATCCTCCTTATGTATATATTCTTTTCAATATACCAGAGTTCTAATGATTTATTAGAAAAACATTAGAAATGCAAAGGTGATAGGGAAATATAAACATTACTACCCTGGTACTTTAAGTCTTGTCATACGTCTTATTTTGTATATTCTTAACCCCCAGAAACCAAAAAAAAAATACAGAAGGATTCATATGTAAAAAGAAGGATGGATGGATAGATAGATAAAAGTGTGTGAAAGAAAATGAAGTAAAATATTAATTGCAGAATTAAAATGGGTATTTAGGTGTTCATTATCTAATTCTTTTTATTTTACTATGTGCATATTTTAAATTTTTCACAAGAAAATGTTGAAAAAAAGTCTGTAAAAGCATCTTGGCCAGGCTGGGGATATAGCTTGGTGGGAGAATGCTTGCCTAGCATGTGTAAAGCTGTGGGGGCAAGGGAAAAAAAATACTTTTTGGTCTTTTTAGTTGTACATGACAGTAGACTGTATTTTGACATATTATATATACATGGAGTATAACTTTCCATTCTTGTGATGTGGAGTTAACACTGGTCGCATATTCATGTATAGACATAGGGAAGTTATGTCTAATTCATTCTACTGTCTTTCCTATTCTCATGCCCCCCTCCCTTCCCTTCATTCCCCTTTATCTAATCCACTGAACAGCTATTCTCCCACCCACCCCATTGTGTGTTAGCATCCACATATTAGAACATTCAGCCTTTGTTTTTTTGTGGTTGGCTTATTTCACTTAGTATGATTGTCTCCAGTTCCATCCATTCACTGGCAAATGCCATAATTTCATTCTTCTTTATGACTGAGTAATATTCATTGTGTATATATATATATACCACATTTTCTTTATCCATTCATCTGTTGAAGGCATCTAAGTTGGTTCCATATCTTAGCTAATGTTAATTGAGCTGCTATAACCATTGATGGGGCCACATCACTATAGTATGCTGATTTTAAGTCCTTTAGGTATATGCAGAGGAGTGGGATAGGTGGGTCAAATGGTTGTTACACTCCCAAGTTTTCCGAGCAATCCCCATACTGCTTTCCAGATTGGTTGCACCAATTTGTAGTCTATGAGTATACCGTTTGCCCCACATCCTTGCCAACATTTATTGTTACTTATATTCTTGGTAATTGCCATTCTGACTGGAATGAGATGAAGTCTCAGTGTAGTTTTAATTTGCATTTTCTCTAATTGCTAGAGATGTCGAACATTTTTTGTTTGACATCTCTAGCAATTATATTTGTTGATTGATTGTGTTTCTTCTGTGAAGTGTCTGTTCAGTTTCTTAGCCCATTTATTGATTTGTTTATTTGTTTTTGTTTCTTTTTTCTTTTCTCTTCTTTTTTTTTTTTTTTTTTTTGTTAAGTTTTTTGAGTCCTTTATATATCCTGGAGATTAATGCTCTATCTGAGGTACAGATGGTAAAGATTTTCTCCAATTCTGTAGGCTCTCTCTTCACATTCTTTATTGTTTCCTTTGCTGTGAAGAAGCTTTTTGGTTTGACAGCATCCCATTTAGTATTGATTTTATTTTTTGCGCTTTAGGAATCTTGTTGAGGAATTCGGTTCCTAACCCAGCATGATGGAGATTTGTGCCTCTTTTTCCTTCCAGTAGGCACAGGGTCTTGCCTAGGTCTTTGATCCACTTTGAGTTGAGTTTTATGCAGGGTGAGAGGTAAGGGTTTAATTTAATTTTTGCTACATATGTATTTCTAGTTTTCCCAGCACTATTTGTTTTGGTTACTATAGGTCTGAGTATAACTTAGGGTCTGGTGTTGTGATGCCTCCTGCTTCACTATCTTACCAAACTAAGGATTGCTTTGGCTATTCTGGGCCTCTTATTTTTCCAAATGAATTTCATGTCTGCTTTTTCTATTTCTATGAAGAATGTCATTGGAATTGTAATAGGAATTGCATTAAAATGTGATTCTGCAGTCTGTATACGGGGTAAAAATGGGAGTTCATAACCCACTTGAATCAAATGTATGAAATATGATATGTCAAGAGCTTTGTAATGTTTTGAACAACCAATAATAAAAAAAAAGGAATTGCATTAAATGTTACAGCACTTTTGGTATGGCCATTTTGACAGTATTTATTCTGCCTATCCAAGAACATGGGCGATCTTTCCATTTTCTAAGTCTTAAAGGAAGCATCATAACTTCATTCCTTCTATGTAGTGCTTAGTTTCTGACCATTTACCAAATCCTTTTTATTCATTGGTCCATTCAGGTTTTCTGCTTCTTTTTCAATACATTTTGGTAACCTTCATTTTCTAAACAGTTGTCTATTTCAGTTGTTACCAGACTTGATGGCATAAGTTTCTCATACGCTTTTTTGCCTCTGGTTATTTCTCTTTTTATTTCAAATATTGCCTGTGCTTTCTTATTTTGATCTGACATACCAGTCTTTTATTCATCTTTGCCTGAGCCAGCTTTTGTTCTGCTTCCCAATGCTGTGTCCCTAAGTTTTACCTTTATCTACATTATTTCTTTTTTTAAAGTTTATGTTCTTGTCTTTCTCAAGCTTATTTTCCTATTTAGGACCTTTATTTTCAGTCTTTCTGTTTTCAAGTAAACCCATTTAAGGCTAAAAAATTTCTCCCTCTGTGATATGTAGGGCTTTTATTGTTATTTCTATATTAACCCATTAATTATTTAGAAGTGAATTTTACAGTTTGCATTCAGTACAACTATATGGTAAGGTGACATTTTTCATTTCTGATTTTATCGAAAAACATTTTTTATTCATATTTTTATTCTATCCTTTCAAACTTTTTTGAAATTTCTTTTTCCAAGAAAAAGTTAGCTTGGGTATAGTACTGGTAGTTTAGAAAACATGGTTATAACAAGTCGCTAATATTGTACACACACCTAATTTCCTAGGATTTTCTTTAGCACATCTACATCTCATACTGTGAAACCCATGTCATTGGTATTAACATGCTCATCTGATGGAGAGGAACACAGACTCAGGTAGTTTATATGACTTGCCCAGGGTCACATGCACATAGTGCTCTATGTATTTTTCTACTGTGTTATACTATGCTATAATATTTCTGTAGTTTGTTACTTTAATTTAAAATATATTAAGAATTTATGAATTAGTTTGGATACATAAAGAGATAAACTTTCATTTTGTGCTTCCCTAATGTGAGTGTTTGGTTCCCCAGGGATGAGCAATTAATGAGATGCTCTTACATTTAGGGTGAAAGTGGTGGGAATAAAATTTTAACAAGAATGATATATCCGGGAGAGGCTCCCTTTTGTTCCAAGTGAGAAAAGCTTATACCTACAAGTTTTATGCCTTGTGCTTTTCTGTTATAAAGAGCTTGTTACACGGCTCTTGTCAAACTGCTGAAGGCAACTAGGTGATTTGATAACCTACTGGGAAGTTTGAAAGTCTTTAGGTTTTTTTACTGTACGTCAGTATTACTCTGTCTTCTGAGGTAAAAATCTATTTTTCCAACATGTCTAAAATGTAACATATTCCCAAAGATATTTGGGGGGTAATTCATACTGACATAACACACTATAATTGTTAAGGTGCTGTCTATATCTTTCATCCTCTAAATGAAAACAGCTGGGTCCAGGAGCTTTTATTAAATTTTAATTATTTATGAAGCTTGCTTTTCTCCTTAATATTTTATGAAATGCTTTGTATGTAACTGAAGCAGATGTTGTCATAGATTATTTTCTCTGGGATCATAACTCTAAAACTAGCTCTACTGGCCCTAATAGTTTATGTGTGATTGTTTTCTGTCTATATAAGGAAACTCCTACTGATGAATAACATAGTTTCTTGAACAAGGCATAAAATAACAATGTTATTCTGTATTTCTTTTGAAAGTTAAATTCTCTAATATTACCAATCTTAATACCTTAAAGATTAACCAAAAAAGTAAATTTAATAAAATAAGGTGAAAATCACTTGATCACTTTAGTAGACACAGAAAAAACATTTAACAAAATTCAACCCCCTTTAGTGGGTTGAAAAACTCAGCAAATTAGAAATAGAAGGGAACTTCCACACCTTGATAGTTTATAAATGTGGAAAACCACATTTATTATCATACTCAATGATAAAAGACTGAAAGGATTTCCACCCTAAAATCAGGAACAAAATGAGGATGCCTGCTTTCACTCCTGCTATCCACCTTTGTACTAGAAGTCCTAGCTAGAGCAGTTAGGTAAGGAAAAGAAGGATTAAAATGACCTCTGCTTTCAGATGACATGATTATATGTAGAAAACTATAGAATTCATGTAATTACTATTATAGCTAATAAAATAATTGAGCAAAGTTTGATCTTGTGGGTACAGAATCAAACACAATAACCCATTGTGTTTCTATACTC